GAAGATATTCATACAGCAGTTTGAAGTTAAAAGAATCATTCTTGTATGTCCACTGTTCAAGGAATGTAAAATCTGAATTTCTTTGAGGCAGCTGAGAACAACTCAAATGAAAATAAAAGTTAGCCACACTTTTACATGAAGAAACCATGTAAGATCATGTCAGCAAAGGTGCTCATCCAGCTTTTGAAAAGCGTCTTCTAAACAGCTCAAGATTAAAGTACTGCTCCAAATTTTGTCAGTTTATAGAGAAGGGAGTGTTGCTTGCAGCAGTCATTCTTATTCACACAGAGTAATGTGTTCCTCCATCACCAGTCTCACCAAAATGGATAGAATTGCTTCTGAAGAACTGCGAGTGCGTGGAAGATCAGTATTTGCCCCTCAGTAGGAAGTGTTATATATGGATGCTGGGCAATATATTGAAATACTTACCTTGGAGAGACAAAATCTTCTATAAAAGTTTGTGCTAATAATTATGTTATGAGCAACTGTGGAAATGAAATTGGTGGAAGTATGTAAAGATAAAATAAAGCTAATAGCAGCTGCTATGTTAGAGGCTTAGATTTGTTGTAAGTATTGGTTTATGTTACTTGACAAATATTATAAGCCTGCTACATTAAGCAAGACTCATGTGAGATGGAAAATTGTGAACTTTTTAATTAAAGACTGTCAGGATGCATGGGCATAAAGGACCAAAATAAGGTCAGGCATGCTATCCTGATTCTGGCATTTCCTACGTCTTGAATGCCTAACTTTGCAACCTTAATGTTCCCTGAAACTGTTTTGTCTTTGCAGCTATTTATATAGTGGCCCAAAGCACACATTAAGCTTTACAGAAAACAGAGTAAAACTGTAGTTATCAAGTGTTTGGAATCTAAATTTATATAAGTCACAGCAGGAGCTAGTAACAAACAGTAGGGGTAACTGTTAAAAGTATACTGCTTAGTGCTTAGGTAGCTGTGGTAACCATAGTATGTTCCTAAAACTAGATAGGAGACCAAAATTTAGGTGAAAATACTAAAATTATAATGAATCTAGGATTGCTGGGGATCTAGCTGTGGCTACACTGAATGCACATCTTTGTGCCATTGGATTTTTATGGTTGGGTCATAAAGGACCTGCACAGATTTGTGAAGATGCTGGCCCAGGCTTCAACAACTTGGTTCAGTTCCAAGTTTACCAAGAAATTTCTTTTGTTAAGTCATTTAAGGGCAGATTTTTCAAAGGCACTCAAACAAATAAAGATACAGTGAGACACTTCCCAAAATTGAAAACCTCTACACGCAACTCTGGATGCCTCATTTTCTCACTGGGACAGTAGATACATGATTAGTCTCCTGTAATGTGCTTGTACTGTTTTTTTCATGGGTAAGCTCTTTCGGGCTAGTACCCTTTTTGGATTTTTACTGACAAGTATGAAGGGTCCCGGTTTTGCTTTGGGCTCTAGGTGAAACTTGGTGGTAATCTCCTCTGCTCCTAAAGTAGTTTGCCATTACAGATTACTCACTGTTCCCATTATGAATTAGGGAATCTTTACTTTCTTGGCCTGTTTGAACTCCTGTGTATCAGCTTCCTAAAGAGGGGTCTTTCTCATAAACTAAATGTCAAGTGGTGGGGTTTTACTTCCTTTACTGCATCACAGCCTTCCCTCTTGCCCCAAATTATTTGTCAAAGATATGTGAAAGTATGAATTCCATGACTAGTGAATTGAATTGTATAGAATATTAAAGCTCTCATGATATAAATTCATTTATTTTTTATTTTATATATGTCATATGCTTTTTCTCTGCATACTATGCTTTTATAGTTTGTCATGCAGTACAAGAGAACTTCTGTTTCATCTCATACAGGGTAACAGTGTGCAAATTAAAAGAAAGATCAGGGAACTAACCGTGTGTTCAGCTAACATTGTGGCAATAGTGAAAAACAGGCCCTTAGAAGATTATATCGTTATCATCCAAAGTAATATCCTAAAGTAGGTGAGAAGTTACAAGGGTAAATTATAGCCTGTTAAATCTATTGGTAATTTTGTGAGGATCTAAACTACAATCTTTACCTTCAGGTAATTAGAACTAAGAAGTACTCACATAGAGAAATTGGCAAGTGGAGAGTATTGACAGCTATATATATGCATTTTTAGGTTGTTAAACATGTATTTCTTTTTATGGACATATATATATCTCCAGTAGCAGAACAAATTGAAAGGCCTGAAAAACAGCTCTGAGGTGCAGTTCATTATGTTCAAATTGGAAGTGCAATATTAATGAGTTATGATTAAGATAACATTGGAAAGCATGTAAACTTTATAACAAAAAACAATAGTGAGAGATGTGATGTAGTAATAGCTTTTTTTAAAAAAACAGAATAAAGTACCCTTCATGTAAAACTCATAAGGAGGGTCTGTATTCTCTTCCCCTTGAAACAGTTGTATCCTAGCAATTCTGGGTAATAATAATAAACATTTAAAAGTTAAGATGTAATAGTTAAATGAGCCATAAAAATGAGGAGTCCATAATTTGTATGGTATCATGTCAGGTAATGGTATTAAAATAAACTAATGTTTGCAGTTACATGTATTTGGGACAAAACTAAGTGTAGCTGTTTGATTGGTGCTACATACATTCCATCCTGGAATGAAAATGACATTGTTTTGACTGCGTTATTTCTGTATCCATGCAAACCATCCTCATCACTCTATAGTTCTTACCTCCTTAATGCAACCAGGGTTGTGTTGTGTCATTTGAAATTAGTGGGTATAAGGCCCCTTGGAGAGATAAAGAGAAGCAGTGATTTGAAAAAATGAAATGCAGCAGTCAGATTTAAGAAGAAAGGGCATTTTCCTGGTAAATGTTTTCCTAAATGGGAATTTTTCAGTGTAGTGTTTTGCTCGTGTATTTGGCAGTCACTTGGAATCAAGTGCAGACTTGTGCTACATTGTGGGCTTGGCAATGACAACTGTGTGTGTGTGTGGTGCTTTAGTTATATTAGCCCTGGAGGCAGAGTTAACACTTGCAGTGGGACAAGAGTATTTGCAGTCATCAGAGAACTTTGCAGTCAGCTTCAATAACATCACTCCATTTTTTTCACTTTTTTTTAACATTTTTTTTGGCAGCAAACCTCTTAGTAGAACCATCTGTCTTTCTATTAGTGTTTTTGAGTCCTGTTTTGAAGCTTCTTTGCTTGGCAAAGTCACTTTCATCCTTGGAAACCATTTAAAAAAAAGAAGTTCTGTGGCTTTTTGCCGAAGAAGAGTACTATGCAAAAATTCCACATGGCTGTTCATTTTTGTTCTAAAAGAATACAGTTACTTTGTCTTTGTCTTAAAAAGCAACAACAACAACAACCAAAAAAAAAAAAGGGGGGGAGGGGGGAACAAACAACAAAACCCCAAACAAAACAAACAAAAAATAACACATGAAGAAAACGCAGCCATTGGGCAGTTCTGGAGTGATGGAGTGGAGACAGAGAAGAAATCATATTTTATATGTTAGGTTTTCTTTCTCGAGCAATCCAGTTAAAAGTATCTCTTCTAGTTAACAGGATCAGAATAGCAAGAAGACTACTGAAGTAACAAAAAATGGATCAAATTAGTTCAGTGAGCAGAACTCCATCAACTCTAGCTTCAGTCCCAACCTTAATCTCCCAGTGCAAGAATTTCCATCAGCAGTGCTCCTCATCTCCATCTTTGCCTTTGGTTTCAGACTATGAAGATGCAGTCAGCACACATACAGGTGTTGACAGGTCCTGGCATAAATGAAGAAATTACCTTCCCAAAGTTCATCACTCTTCTGCCTTGTGTCTGGTGAACAGAGACATCTCCTAGATCCTCAGGAAATGAAATTAAAAGAAAATTAAGTCAAGATGCTGTGGTCTGACCTGTGGCAACCAAGGAGCTGGCACAGGTTCTCTTTTGCCAGTTCTGGCTATGCAGGCAGTAATGAAGGGAGTGACATCTTCTTTTGCCTCTAGCCAAAAAAGGTTGTCTATCAACTCTCTAATTTTCCTTGTTTCTTAAGGCTACAGACCGCAAACTAAATTTTAGTCTTTGATAATGTATCTGCACCTGCAATGCCTTAGCTTTACAGTGCCATTAAAAATCTAGATGACCGCTCTTAAAAAATGAGTCAGTTTCCCTTTACTGACTGAACCGGTCAGCACAATGTGTTTTTTTAATTAAAACCCGCCATTTAATGTTTTGATCAAACTTTTAATCCAACATTTTAAACAAACTTTTCATTTCTCATGTGTGAAAAAAAAAGGTGATGTTTATTTCTAGTAATTAAAATCTCTGACAGGACTAGGTAAAAGCAATAATATGAGATGTTGTGCCATGGCCAACTTCCAGTTTTGATGACTAATTCCTGCATGTCTTAAGTCCCCTGCAGTATCCACTTACAATATAATATTTTCCATTTCCTGACTTGCATGGTTGTGTACAGTTGCAGTGCAAAGTTGAGCAGCTAACACTTCAGATATAGCTGTGTTTTGTTTGTGAATTAAGTGTCTCAGCCTTTTTTCTTACCATGCCAGAAACTTCATATTTTCACATGTACAGAAAAGTGCATATGTATGGGCATAAAAATAGTACTGAATGTGCTGGACACTACTTACGTGCATATTTGTATTTCTGTGTGTGTGTATTTTTATGTTTGGACTCAGTCAGGGTGAAGGCTGGGATAGAGATATTGTTACACAGTGCAATGAAAAAGAAAAACCCACCATCAAAAAGGAGTGAGGTCTTATAGACTGTGGGGAGAATAATTAATTGGGGTACAGGTATGCATTGGTGGAATATTTTGATTTATTTTGGATTGAGGTAATTTATCTGAAGTGATATTAAGTGGTAATTAAGATGAGGCTGAATAGTTGATGCTGCTGGAACAACATCCCGTTATGGAGAAACCTACTCAAACCTAACCTATCAGATCAGAAGTAAAAGAAAGCATGTAGGCAGTGGTATTCCCTCAAAAAATTCCAGGTTTGTTTTTCCCTCTCCTGTGCAGCAGGTCCAGGGTCAGCTGCCTCCATTAATGATTCCCGTATTCCCTCCAGACCAACGAACCCTAGCAGCAGCTGCACAACAAGGATTCCTTCTTCCTCCTGGTTTCAGCTACAAAGCGGGATGCAGTAAGTCCTGTAGATCTTTTTTTTAGCTGAAAGTAGGTGTAGGGCACAATATCATGCCAACCTGCATAAAAGTATCACCTCTCTCACCAGATGGACAAAGCCATTAACTTGCACAGATAAGTGAAAGACAGGGAATTGGTCGGTATCATTTGAGAAAAGATTGTCAGAGATGAAAGATGTGTTTCAACGTCACAGCAAAACATTTTACACAACAAGCAGATTTGTACACCTTCTTTCTGACAGATCTTTTTGACAAGTGAACGTGCTCATGGCCGCACGTACATACATACATCTGAAGAGAAGCTATTTGAAACTTCCCATTATATTTCAACACTGTTGTAAGAAAATATGTTTTTTTCCTGAAGCAGCCTCCTTACTAGTTGTGAACTGAGGGCCTATTCTAGTCTCTTTCTTCACACAGAACTCACATTAATCTCAACGGGGGTTCTGCACAGAGATCAAAGATAGCATATGCCTTTCAATTTGATGGACTAAAATAAACTATTGAGTATATTTATGAGAGCGTAATACTAAAAAATATAGCATTTACATTTTTAATCTTTGAAAGATTTATATTGTTCTCCATACTCCTCAGATTTATTTATTTTTTAAATTTTATTTAAGTCTTCTATAGGATTTTGTGTTCCTGTCAACAGGATGATAATAAGTACAAGTTAAAGAATAACTGAGGAACTCCATTTCCATGAATACATTTTTCTAAAGCAGGAATTTCATAGACTTCTTTTCATACATTTGTGCTTGTATAACTCTTCTGACATCAGTTTCCTACTGAGTTATGTAGGACTTGTTTGTTGTACTGCTCTCTGTTTGTCTCTAGCATGGGTGTTTAGCTTTATTGTTTCCACATCAGTGTATCCATCTGTGTCATTGAGTAACTCATGAATTCATCGGTTGTTTTGAGTTACTCAGGTCTTGCCACAGTGGCAGTTTCATAAAGTTAAAACATAAAAAGATTCTTTTAGTTAAACTGCCTTGGCCAACAATTGCAGATTTCTTTCAGTTTCTGTAACATTGTAGGTACAGTGCTTGAAAGCAAACTTGGGTCTCTTTGGCCACTAATCCCTTTCCTAATATTGTACAGACTGGAACCACTACTGAAAATTACTGTTCAAAAGACTTTATGCCCCTCAGCAGCTGAGGTATCAAAGCATAGGCTCATTCTGTTCTTCCAGTGCTTTCACACTCAGTCTCTCCCAAATGGGAGTAGTAGTGATTCATATTACAGAATGTTTAACTGAAAGCCACACTGAATATGAATTCTGCCATAACTGTAAGCCTGGAAAAGGTCAGGAAAGCACCGTGTTAGATATATCTGGCAGATTAAATTAGTTCCACATTAGTGAAGTGTGTTTTGGATAGTAAGAGTTGAGGTTGTTTTTTCTTCTTTTTATTGTGTGAATGTTAACTGTAAGGCAGTCCTATAGTTCCTCACATGCATGAAGTACACATGACATGGCATGTTTGTGAAACTTTGAAAATGAAAATGAAAAAATAGCAAAGTTGCTGCTGCTCCTGGCAGTAAGGCTTGGAAATTACAGCATGCCAAGGTCTAGGGCTGAGCAGAAGCCAGTGGAAAAAGACAGCTCTGTGTTTGGTGATTCCCTGGCATGTTTGACTGAATTTGACTGAGAAGCTGAGAAAAAGTGATAAGTAGTCCAATGGATTTTTTCTTTTTACTCACAGTTCAGTGTAAACAAAAAAACATATATGGATTTCGCTACACCTAGAAAGCTTGTAGCGATCAGAAACATTGCTGCCTTAAAACTGTAACATGTTCATGTTACAGTTATAATAATGTTTTTGACAGGTCATTAAAGCACATTTCTCCCACTTCCCTGCGTGCCCTTTTGTGCATGAGTCCCCTTGGCAAAGATGTGGTCAATTGTAAGCCAAAGAGCTTTGAATAAAATTTTCTAAAGCACCTGAGTGGTGTAGGAGACTCAATCTTAACTTGGAAGATTTAGACAGGGGCACTAGGATCTATGTCTCAGGGATGTTTAGCACATCTTTGAACTGTAAACTTTAGTAACAGTCACTTGTGCTAGCTCAAACTGAGCTCAAGTGGGTACCAGTACAGCACTGCAACACAGGATGTGCAGCAGATTAATTTGCTCAGCTTCTCAGCACATTAAATGCTTAACTTTCACAGAGTTTGCTTTTGAATCCAAGGCCTTCCTGTGAATGTCTGAAGATCCTACTACCGGCATCTTTACCTGAGCTACCATATGTTTTAAATTTGACTTATGTAACTTACGAAAATCAAATCTCACTTGTACGTCTTCCTGAGCCTTTTGGAAAACACTGCCTTTCTTCTGGACTGATAGATTTTCAGAATTATTTTGGCTGATTGACAGGAAGTCTCTAGTGATGATTCTGTTATTTATTAGCATTAACAACCTACACATAGGAAAAATAAAAATCTCCATGGGGCAATTCAGTTCCAGTCACAAATAACCAAAGAATTATGAAGGTTTTCACATGCTATTTCTCAGTGAAAGAGAGATTTAAAAATCTGGGAGAGAAGGAAGAGGGAATTGTTGTGACAACCAATATTTTTATAACTAATACCAAGAACCTTGATTAGGTGGCTGGTTGGGGACATCTTCAAAGGGACATTTATACTGTTATCTGCCCTGCCCCTTTGAAAAGTGGGATCTCTAAAAGGGTATCTCAAATTCAGCAGCATGTCCTCTAAACCACTGCAGGACTCTAGTCAGTCGTGCTGGACTTGGTTATTCACTGCTTCTGTCTGCAGGGCAACTAGCTGAACAGGGAACTGCCTCCCATTGCTCATCACTGTGCCTCTAACTTCTGACATAATGGCCAAGCTTCTTTGTTAAGCACTCCTTAACTTGCTTCTGTCCAGGCTGGGATAACAAGGACTGTCTGTTAAAATTGCTTAAATGGAGCTGGCTTATTTTTAATGGAAACATATTGGGAAGTGATCAAACAAGCAGCTTGGTTTCAGTAGTAACCTTTGCAGGGGGCTGTGGTTGAAGGTAGTGTCCTCTTCAGCACAGCTGCAGCAGAAAGAGAAAATATGATCAGGCCTTGAGGTCAGTGAATGAGAAAAATTATTAATACCTTTTATTCAGCTTAGATAATGAAACCAAACTAAGTTAGTCAATGCTTTCTGATTCACTTGTCCGTGTCAGAGCAACAGAGGGTCAAATTTATGTCTCCCAGTGTTTTCAGAGAGTGTATGTGATCTGTCATTGGAAACAAAGAGGTTTCTCTGCTTGGGTTCATACTTCATCAGAAACATTATAGGTGGCTGAAATGCTCAAAAGAATACAAAATATCAATCTGTAATATGTGGAGAGTGAATTCTTCACTTACACTTCTCCAAATATATTGCAAAATTGGGTAAATACAGGTCGGAGAGGGGTAAATATTTTCTCCATGATCACATGGCAGGCCATGGACTATGACTTCTAGTTCAACACAGTAATTTCCTTTTCCTTCTTTTTCTGCATAGCAGATCATACTTGGGAGTGGCTTGGTTTTGAATTTTGTTTTGTTTTTTAAACAGATGGTTTGCAATACATAAGGGACAATTTACACAAGTTGACACTTACCCTTTTTTTCTCTATGGCATATTGTGTGGTGGTAATGTTGGCAGAGAAAAAGAAAGGAATTTCTATCAGGATTATATTTCTAATTGAGAAAAGGATTAATAATCTGTGGTTCCAGTTGATTTTTAACCTCCATACTTAGATATGATTGCATGATGTGTAAAATATTTAATATTATTATTTACAACCAAAGCATTTTTTATATGAGAAAAGTAAGTTGGCAGTATGTGATAGACTGTATTGTCCATGATAAGCAAAAAAAAATACTGGTTACCTACTTACTTGGTACATACCTGGTTATCCATTCACTATGTGCTATTTGAAATGTAAGTCTTACTTTTGATTTTTATGCTAACTTCCTTATATGTGTTTTACTATATACATCATATATAATATTTATATAGAGGTACAAAGGTCTCTTTATGAAGAGTTGATGTTTCAAAATGGGGTGTTAACTAAGTGACCTGTGGCATAAGTGGGTGTTAGGAATCAACTCCAGTACCCTAAGTATATGAGTTGGCTTTTGCAGCAGGTGAGCTCCTTCCATTTCAGCTGATGTTGAAACCAAACAGATCCTGATTACTGCACTTGCTGAACTCTGGCAAAGCTGCTCCCACGTTGGGGCTATGCATATGTGCTCAGGTCATTTAACCATTCTGTTATTGTCAGCCAGCATTCCTTGACCCTATCATTTGTTCCTACTTCTATTGCTAGTTCAGCTTTACTTGTGATACTTGCCAGGTAATGTACATGACTCCCAGCATTTTAGCAATGGTGGGTAAAATGTCAGCTCTGCTGAGGTCTGAGGAGCTGTTGCTGTTGACTTCACTGAAGTCAGATTTCACACCAGATGATACAGATCTGCTAGGGCCACTCTTAGAAATAATGAGAGTTTATTTAGAACTAATTAATAGTAGTTAAGTGCTTTTAAGTTACAGAAACAGCTTAAGTGATAGAATGTAAGTCTGGTATTGAGCCCTTTGAAAATTGCATAGTTCCACCTCAGAGGAGGCTGCTCTTTAGACATTGCTACTGTGATCCTTTTACTAATGCACATATGTATGGATTTGTATGTGGAATAGTAAGGCATGATTGTCTCTTCTGTATAAGAGACGATAAAGGGAAGATTTGGGAAAGCAAAAGGGGCTTCTTCTGGGGAGCTGTTTACAGAAAAGACAGGAGTTAGGCTGAGAACAGTGGTAGATTTGGTATTCAGCAACTGTAAGGAGCAGAATGCAGCAGGTCAGAATGCTTCCCCATGTTTCCTCTAGTTCTGCATTTGCAGCACAGTTGGCAATTAGCTGTCCAGTAAAAGACACAGAATAGCCCAAACTGTGTAAAGGAGATAGGCCTTCCCCAGCTCATGGTGCTAAGCAAGATTAATTTTGGAAACTGCACTCCATT